TTGTTTTTTTTTTTTTTTTTTTTTTTCCGAGACAGGGTTTCTCTGAAGTTTTTGGTGCCTGTCCTGGAACTAGCTCTTGTAGACGAGGCTGACCTCAAACTCACAGAGATCCGCCTGCCTCTGTCTCCCGAGTGCTGGGATTAAAGACGTGCGCCACCACCGTCTGGCTGTAGCCTATTTCTTGAGTGGGGATATAAAAACTCACACAAGCTAAAAACATCTACCACACTCTCTACAAGAGAACTCAACGGTGGCCCTCTGCAGATGGAATGTCTGGGTGCTCCCTGGACTCACACTTGAACTCTATCCCTCAATGCACTTGTACTCATAGGCTGTGATTAATGAGTAAGAGTTCACGCTAAGGAATGGAACTGCTACCCTTGTAAGATGCCAGAGGGAGCTTCCTAGGCTCCTGTGTCACAGAAGGACTAACTAAAGGGACCATCTACGAAGCAAGCCTTCAGGAGATGCTAACCTGGGGTCTTGACTATAGGGCTGCAGTGATAAAGGCCTGTTGTTTATAAAGTAGTTTGTCACAGGTATTTAGTTGTAGCAGCAGCAAAGATTAAAAAACACAAGCAAAGACATGACGGCCCATTAAGATGCTAATTCTTCCCCAAAGAGTGGAATTTACAACACAATAGGGTAGCTCTGTAAGTTTCTACTCTGAAACACGCCTGTGTGTGCCTGACTATGCCTCACTTAAATTTGGGACTTGGAACACTTTTTAGACAAGAAAAACCTTTCTCCACAAAAATACTACTTTGAAACCCCATTTCATAAACTGCGGAGGTCTGAGTCCATGAGGCACAATTACACTTCAAGATCGGAGGTATTTCCAACTATGCCAGTGACAAGTACGGCTCAGCTGGATCTTTATTATTGTTATTATTATTTTATGTCGTAAAATTATTTCTCTTTTTGATGAGTTAAAAGTCTGTCCATGGACAGTTTCGCACACATACACAAAGCATGCTGACTGCTCTTGCCCCTACGTTATTTATAACAGCGCCATTTTTTCCTATTTGGTACAGGATACAGGGTGAACCACATCATGAGGGCCACCCTCACAGACCTAGGGCTACCTCTTCTGAGGACAGGCTACTATCGAAGCCTGAATCAAGGATATATCAAGGCCATTAAGGAGAAGATATTTCCTCCTGGAATAGAGTCGGCTCTACCCCTGGCCTTGGATGGAGACCAAAGATTCCAAGCTAGCCAGAACACAAAAGTTAATCCAGCCAGGCCTGTTGGTCACCTAACCAAAGAGATCAACCCTCAGGAAGGCAGATTTGCTTTAAAGCATGCCAAAGACATGGGAGGAATAAATATTTCTTCTTGAGATAATGGACTTAGTCTTACCAGAAACTCCTGGCTGTGTGGCCCCTGCTATGATTTGCTCGGTTTTCTCAATTACTTGGAAAAACCTAACTTTTGCTTCTCCCTTCTTTTTTATCTTTTTCCTTCTTTCAGAGTCTTCCCAAAAGCCCGAGGATGCTGCCCTGAACACACTGCACTTCCTCACACCCCTTTTCTGAAGCTGTCCCTGAGTCCCACTTCTGTTGTATAGGAGAGCCGTCTCTACCTCTTCTCCATCCTCTTCCTGGAAGCTGCTGAGATTTACACCTTGCTTGCCCTGGAGTTCAAATAAAATAAAACTCAAAATTGTCCTCGAGTTTCCTTCTGAGTTCATTCTTGCATTTTTTTTTATTAACAAGATTAAGAATCTTAAAAAGGAATCCCTATTGACCCCTTACCATGTGGCAACCCAAATGGGGTTTCCCTAAAATTCCAATAACAAGAAGGGAAATAAAGAATGGGCTTAGGATCTTACTGTGTCTTCAAAAGAAGGCAGGTGCCCAGGCCCACTCTAGGAATGTTTGCCCCCACTCTTCTGTGCTGAGTTGGCAAAAGACAGTTTTTGAAACCCAGTAATTAAGACATTCTTCCGGTGGTTGTGAAAAGCACCCGGGGGTACACGCTATGCATCCAAAATAATGAGCCTCACCAGAGATCCAGCACTAACGGCGGACCAAGACTGCCCTTAGCAAGCTGAAGTGATTTTCCTACAAAATACCTGATTTTGCTTCTTTCTTGGAATAGTTTGGTCAAAGTTTCATTTCTTTAAGTTTTCATTTGTCATTAATACTTTGACACTTAAGAGATAAGAGATGAAGTTTTAAACCCCAAATCTCTGGTTTGATGAAGACATTACTATGGTGTCTCTTTGGTCGTTAACAAGTGAGACATGTCTCTGTCCCTTCTAGCACCAGGATTAAACAGCCGGACATCGAGCCACCTTAGTGGCTATGCAAAGGCGGCATCGCAGGCCCCTTTCCCTGACAGGAAAACCGAGGCAGCCCAGTGGCCTGTTGGATAAACATCCCACAGCAGCCGCGCTCACTCGCGATCATTCTGTCCAAGTATTACCCGATGCAAAGGAAATGGTCTGACAAAGTTGGCGGTGCGCGGGGAGATGAGATGGGGGATGAGGCGGGGTGGTGGGATGGGCGACGACCAGTGATGGTGGTGGTGATGGTGATGGTGGTGACAGTGGTGGCGGTGACGCTGGGCCGGCTCTTCTCCCGTTTTTCCATGACTGACAGTCCTCGCAGGCTCCGCCGTCCCCGCGTGGCCTCTGCCCGGAGAAACAGGATTTGCACCCAAGCCGCACGTTCGCTGGCGCGAGGCTGCGGCGCCCCACGAGCCGGCCACGCGCCCCTCTGAGCTCCCGCGCCGGCTCCGCCCGAGCATCGCAGCCTTGGTTCCTCCGGCCCGGCCTCCCAGCACTTACTACCCCTCCTCCCCACCAGCCCTCTCTTCCCCCCCGGGGCAGCGCCCACGCCAGGGCCCGCCCCGCCGAGCCCCCCACGACCTGGTCCCGGCCCCCATCACTTACGCTGCGCTGGGCCCGGCGCGTCCGGCGGCCCGAGACAAAGGCTGAGCGGCCCGGGTGCCGCCGGCTGCTCCCCTAGCCGCGGTTGCCGGGGACCAGGAGGAGGATGGGGAGGATGGAGAGGATAGAGAGGAGGAGGGGCGGGGAGCAAGGGGAGGCAGCAAGGGAGCGCGGGGGAGGGGCCCGTGGCGTCCGCCACCCACCGCTGCAGCCCCAACCTTAGCCCTCCTTCCGGGCCGCCACCCTCCGGGGGTGCAGACCTCCCCCCCAGGGACCAGGGTACCGCCCCCCTGGGGGCGGGGTGGGAGGAAGAGGAAGGGAAGGAGGAAGGCGGTGAGTGCGCCTGTGTGTTCCTCCTCAACCGTGATCGTCTCCACCCACCCCCGCGCCCGCCAGCAACCCCAGGAACATGCTAGACTCCGCGCCTCAGCCGCCTGGCTCCCAACGGCCCCGCTCCCGCCTCCCTCGGTGCCGGCACACCTCTGCCCCAGACCAGCCAGCCCATCCACCTCCACCGGCAGACCTGAAGGTTAAGTGGCCGAAGGCGCTGGCGAGCGACGTCCGTCTGAGAGGTGACAGCGGGGGTCTGAGCCCTTTGTGACCCTCCTCTTGTGGCGCGCCTTCTGCTCCAGCACTACCCCTAGTACCTATGGGGACCTCCAAGGTTGGGGAGTTGGGCAGGTGCGATCTGCCGGGCATGAGTCTCCCATAGGCATCTTGCTATAAAAAGTAACTCCGTGGCTTGGCTCAGTCTTTTATGTCTTGGTGAAAAGATTTTTTTTTCACATTTTAAAAACTTTGTATTGTTATTTTTTTTTTTTCAGTCAAAGGAGGAGAATAGTGTAAAAAGCCATCTTCAGCCTCAAGAGACGCTAGAATTTTCCCGTCCACTTCACTCAAAAAGCACAATGGCTATGTCAGTTTCCATCCCTTAGTGTCATCCTAACTAATGCTATTTTCGGAGCATCCTGGATCCCCCGGCCTGTGCTAAATGCTTCACCTGTGCCGCTTGGCTTGGGGGAAGAAACCAAAACAATTTGTCCTCGAGTTGGTAGTGGGAAGGCTCTTGATAAGCCTTCCATGAGCTAAGCAACACTGACCCACCAAGGGCCAAGCTGCTGTGGTTATGTCCTAGACTCTGCCAAATGTGACTGAAGCCATCCCTGGGTGGGGGGGGGGGGGAGGGGACGGGACGACAAGCAGAATGTTGGCTTAAATTCCAAGGGCTTCGGGTCAGTCCTTAGCCTTAGGAACCCACGTGCAGGCAGGTTATAAGCCACAGAGGTAGTTGGAGTCTGAGGGTGGGGCCTGGCATCCTCCAAGAGAATCCAATTTCCTGCAGTGATTTGGTTGGAGTCCTGGAGTCCACACGCAGCATGAGATTAATGCTGAAGCACTTTGGTCTGCATTTAAGTTTCATGTGTTTGAGTTGAAGAATTGGTTCCTGCCTATTCCTTAATTGGTGCAGCATTCTAAGGAGAGACTCAGGCCATGCTGAGGGTACCCAGCCGGCCTCTCTGTGTGCCTTATCCCTCCCAGCGGCAGAGCAGAGGGGTGTCTTTGGTGACTGATTCAGGGAGGAGTTGGGTAGACAGGTCAAGATGAAGACTATGGTCTCAGCCCGTCTGGCTTTCCGCCCTTCACCCCTTCTCAGGGGTGTGCCCTTGGGCAAATGACTTGGCCACTCTGTGCCTTATTTTCTCAATGGCAAAAACTGGGAGTGTGGATGGAGTCTGTCTGATGGAGCTGCGGGAGGCATTTCTGCATGTAGAGTACTTGGCCTAGAAAGGTGGAGAAGGCACTGTACGCCCTTAGCCTACCGTAAGGGAAAAGTAGAATGACTGAAGCCCAGAGAGATTGCTGTTCCAAAGGATTTGTGGCCTTGTTTTCCGAGGACGGAAGGGGCCCAGCCCTAGCTGGTTTGCAGAGTTAGCTGAATGTACAGAAAGCAGAATGACTCTTCCCTTCGCAGAGGCCTGCGGAGCTTCACACAGGTACTTCCGGGCCGGCACATCTGCAGAACCCCTCTGGACCTGGCTCTCCTAATCACATGACTCCAGGACACGGCCTTTGAAGGCTGGAAGGAAATGGAAGGTTGCATCCACTTTCCCAGCCAAACTGACCACGGTGACTAGAAAATGCCCTGCTGACCCGACTCTGTGTGTGAGCTGTCCCCAGCAGCCTGCCCACCCACCCACCCCCCATTTGTGGTGGCAGCTGTCAGGCATTCAGACTGTGGCAAGGATTGAGCTGGTGTCCGTCTTCAGTCTTGGCTTTCCTTGTGACCTTCTCACCATTGCCCCACCCCGTGCTGTGCAAACTACTTCTAGAAGGAGCAAACAAAAACCATTCTCCCAAGAAGGCTTGCCCTGTACAGTGACTCTCAGTCTTTAGCTAGCCCGGGAGCTGGCACGGGTGACTTGAACTTGCTCCCAAAGTCATCCTCTCTGTATAGAGAGACAGAGGCATGTGTGCCCTAGAGCTAGGGCTTCCAGCACCTTGATAATGGCATCCTGGTTTGGATTTTTCACGTCCTGGTTGCTCTCGCTTCCCATCTGTTATAAGAACCATAGCCTCCTACCCTGGTGGGGCTCAGGACTTTACTAGCTTTTTCTGATGAGAGCCGTGTTGTGTCTGTCATCTTGGCATCCCTTGGAAAAGCTCCCAAGAAACCCAGTTTCAAGGAGGGAAGGTTTTGGAGGTCTTTCCATGATCCCTTGGGTTCTGTGGCTTTGGAACAACAGAGGGGCGAGGTAGAAGGTCATGGTGGGGAACTCACAGCGCAACAAGGCTACTCATCTCATGGTGGCTGGGAAGCAGAGAGAAGATGGGACAAGGTTACAGTGTCTCCTAGGGCACACCCTCAGTGACCCAGCTTCCACTTGCTACTTCATCCCAGTGACCCAGCCTCCTGCTATTCCACCCCACACTTCAGAGATTCTGTCACCTCCCAAAACTGTAGTCAGGTGAGGACCAAGCCTTAGGCATGTTGGCTTCCAGCGGGCATTTAAGATCTGAACCAGGGACCCATCCACCCCTCTTCTGTCTTTGCTGTTTCATTTCCCTCACGCCTTCCTTCAGTTCCCTCTTTGCTCTGTCAACCCGACTGTCCTTTGCTGTGTCATATTATCCCACCACAAGGAGTTTTTAAAAACCTTTCATTGTGCTTTGCCTGCACAAAGTCTGGAAAACGTAGACGAATAAAGCCGAGTTTCAGGTTTTGTAGGATGAGCTCGATAAACGAAGCGTGGTGGTGTCTGGTCCTCTTCAGAGGAAAACTGCCAGATCCTAAGTGTTCTTACAGAACATGGACTATCCTATGACTCTTGGAGATAACTTTACCAGAGAGCCTTAGCAATGGGTTAAGATGAAACACAACGAGGGACATTATTAGCATCCATTTGTTCTTTGTGGACAATCTGACACTCAGAGGCGGCTCCGAGGGAGAACTCTATAAACTATTAAAATGACAAAGAACTTCAGTCTAGATAAAGAAATCGAGTTCAGTTAGCTAAATGGAAGACCGTACAAATGTAAGCGGACAGCTCGCGGTGACGAATGGGCTCCATAGCTATAAAGATCAACTTACAGAAGATTAATAGGAGGGGAGATGTATAATATCTGGGCTTCCAGCTGTTGAGAAGTGCTAAACTTATTGACACTGAAGATAAGCTTGGATAAAAGAAATTCCACCCAAATGGAGAGAAACTACTTTAAAGGAAGCCTAATGCCGGCGACTAAATTAAGGCAGTAAATATATCTGTGGTTCCGGCTCATTTACTCTTCTAGGGACTACAGATCATTATAATGAACAGCAGATTATTAACCACAAAGTGCCCTATGCATCACGACGAATTTGAGCCACTCACTCTCCCACACCAAGGGAAATCCAGTTGTCCCAATAACAAGAAAGTTTGTACGCACTCGTTGAAAACTAAGAAAATTGAGAATTTCATAGAGAGTGCCTTTATATCAAGAAATAAAGCCTGTGGTCCCTCCTTGGTGGTCTGGATGGATCTGCCAACCAAGAGAAAACAATGGGAGAACTGATGGTGATATCTGAGGCTGGTTAGGAACAGGCTGGTGGTAGATCGGCCTCACCTGGAATGCTTGTCTTCCGTGTCTCCTCCAAAGGAGACACCAGCCCCAGAATCAAGCCCAGCTACACGGAGACCTCGAGAAGAGATACTGAGGTCTCGGCTTTGCTGGCATCTCGGTCCAGGCACCTGATGGGGGAATGAAGCGGCCTCCAGATGACTGGCATGCCCAACCCTCAAGTACCCTCCAGCTGTCGAGTCTTTCCAAGCTTCACAGAGAGAACTGCCTCCCCTTCGATAACGTGACCAAATTCCTGATCCTCCAATTCTGTAAGCACAATAAAGTAAGGTTGCTTAATGCCATGAAGTTTGGGTAAGTCGGGGTGATTGCAAACTAGAATACTGAGCAATGTACAGACGTATGCCAAAGGAGACAATTTGCACCACAAAGTTGACAGCCTTCGCAAGGCCCCGTGGGAAACAAGCTGAATTAGGAGGTAGGGGTTCTGCTGAATTTCAAGGTGTACTGTGCCACCTACAGCCCCACATCCCGGGGAAAATGATAGCCTCCTGCCTACGTCTATAAAATCAGACAACCTGATCTCCATCACGGGAGTTAGAACATGGACTGCCCACAGATGTTCGTCATTATTGACCGGCTCACACACCAGGTGTGCCCATTCCACGGCAGAGCACAGGGGAAGGACTCCTGCTTCCCAGGCATGGCATTTGATGATTTCCCTTTCAGCCAAAGGAGATTCACGCGATGGGCTTGGTAAGCCGGCCCTGCAGTTTTACAGTTGACCTTAAGTCGGAGTTGTACACTCTTGTTTGAATTGTCACCTACAGTAAGAGATACACAGACTGTGAGCCAGATACACAGTATCTACCTATGTAAAGCCGTATTCAGATGCTGATGAAACCCTACTGGCTTTCATACACACCCTGCACGCTGATGCTTTCTATTTTGTTCTGCTCACTTTTTCCAAAAACACTACTTGGGTTTCAACAGTCTACTAAGGAATCAAATTTACAAGTTGAAAGCCAAGCAGCAATTATTTTTTTATATGGCTTCTGCAGTGGTTCATCTTAGGTACCAAATTGATGAGCCTAAGGGATGTCCAGACAGCTGGAAAAAAAATTGTGTGTGTGTGCACGCGAGAGTGGATTGGTGTTCAGAAGAGATTGCTAGAATCAGTATATAGGGGTAGAGAAACTGACCCTCCTCAGTATCAATTGGCATCATCCAATCCCTCTAGTCCCCACATGAAACAAAGAGGAGGAGGAGGGCAATCTCACATTCTCGAGCCCGAGCTGGGACAACAATCTTCTGTTGTCCCTTGGCCATCAGCCCTCAGGTTCTCAGGCCTCCAGGTTTAGATTAGAGCTAAACCAGTGGCATTCTGTTATCCATCTAGCAAATGACACGCTGTGTGACCTCAGCCACCATGATCCCATGAGCACTCTAATATATTACCATCATTTTCTATATTTTTCTCATCTATCACTTCAGATTCTCCTCTTTGGTTGTGACCAAGGCAGATTCCTTACAGTAAACTTTTTGTTGTTTTTGTCTTGCTCAACTGATCTTCCCTATGTATGCCCCACCCCTGCAGGATCCCCAGTCTCCTGTCTTCCCAGAACGAGCTGCATTCTGCATAGTCGAGGGTCCATCCTGTACAGTGGTGCAGGGTCTTAGGTGGATGCTACTGTCTCTGCAGGCCGACGCATGTGTCCAACACAGAGTAGGTGCCAGATGGGCTCTTTGGAATTGATCTTGAAACAGAAACACTCACCTGTATTATTCTGCTCATGCTCTATGTGTGGGTAGCGGTCAGTTGCTCCCAGATGATGTATAATTAGACCTTACATTGACAGTGATGCAATTTAGGTGTCGGGGAAGAGGTTTGGCGGACATCCCTTTCTTTGGTGTCTCAAGCCAACGTGCCAGGCACTCACTTCTGTCATAATGCTCATCTTCTGGAAAAGCTGCTTTCCTTTTTAACAACAGAACATTTAAAATCAGAATCCAGAAAATGCCTCTCAATTAAAATTTTACACTGTCCGTTGCTGCGCGCCAGCTTTGTTACTGCTTTTTGTTGCTGCCCATTATAAATAATGACCCTAGAACACATTTCGTAACAGAGCCATTAACGAACATGCCATTCTGCTCCCATGAAGCAAGCCATGCATCTGCTAAGGTGATTCGGTAGACAGGTTTTTTTTCCTATTCTCTGTCTCTCTCTCTGTCTCTCTCTCTCTCTTCTCATACAGACAATAGAAATTTCAGAGAAATGTAAGTCGGAGCTGTTGCTTCCTTCAGGGGCCTCTCCATTTAGCTCACAGTTTGGGGGGCCACACTTGAGGCTGCTATATCAATGGAATGAGAATTTGTTAATAGGAGGCTGTCTTGTTTTCATTTTGTGGTTTCAGAGACAGAGAATGACCTTCTTTTCAAAGGTAACTTTGTGGTGGAATGGGAAAAGACCAGGGCATGGTACACAACAAGATAGTAAATCCTAAATCTGTCATGTATTAGAACTCTACGGTGTTAGATGAGGAGGAGGGCTGGGCGGTGGTGGCGCATGCCTTTAATCCTAGTACTCGGGAGGCAGAGGCAGGCGGATCTCTGTGAGTTCGAGGCCAGCCTGGTCTACAAAGGGAGTTCCAGGACAGGCTCCAAAGCTACAGAGAAACCCTGTCTCAAAAAACCAAAAAAAAAAAAAAAAAAAAAAAAAAAAAAAAAAAAAAAAAAAAAAAAAAAAAAAAAAAAAAAAAAAAAAAAGAGGAGGGCCCGCTTATTCATCCCAGCCACCTGGCTAGCTTAGCCCAGAAATAACCATGCAGAAACTGTATTAATTAAAACATTGCTTGGCCCATTAGCTCTGACTTCTTGAGGGCTAACTCTTACATCTTAATTTAACCCATTTCTATGAATCTGTGTATTGGCATGTGACAGTGGCTTACCAGCAAAGTTTCTGGCAGCTCTATGGCTTTCTCCGACTCTGCCCTTCTTCCTCCCAGCATACAGCCTAGCTTTCCCTGCCTAGTTCTGTTCTCCCTGCCATAGACACAAAGCAGTTCTTTATTAACCAATGACAGCAACACATATTTAGAAGAACCTCCTACATCATTATGGAGGCTGAGAAGTCCCGGAGGATGATGCTGCAGGCATCTAGTCAGAGCTGATGAGGCCCTCATGCTGCATCACATCATGGCAGTAGACATCACATGGTGTGACAGAGTTGACAGCCAAGAAAGCCATTCTACAGTAACTCATTGCCTTGATGGCTCAAACAACCCCCCTAAAAGGCTCCCCACAAAACCCTGAGGACGTGAACTTAGGGATTAAAATCCCAACACATGAAATTTGGGAGACACATTCGACCGTAATAAAACATGAAGAGGCAAAAAGAGAGGCCTATTAACATTCCTGCTAAGAACAACTAGGCAGGTCAGCCAAGGGAGACAGCAGGGAGAGTGATAACCTCTCACCTCCCACTGATGCCCCCACTGGCTGATTCCATCAAGGAGGCAAAATGAAAGGGACCCGATAGATGGTGTGTGAAGGTGGGCATCCGAGCCACACAGGGTGGAGGAAGCTGGAGACAAGATCCCCAGGGTCAGTGGTGACGCCTCTCTGCAGACTGCTTGCTCCCGTTCCTTGTTCAATTGGAAAAGATAACTTTACAGAGGGAAATGAGAAACCTCGCTCCATGTTGAATTGTCTCTGGTGGTGTAGCCCAGCCAGGTGTTCATGTGGAACCTTTTATTTTAGCCCCAGTGGCATCGAAAAGGAGGGGTCGTGGAGAGGAAAAGGCAGGAGGACAACAGAAACGTAGCCTCAGAGTCTCCTCTCCTGTGGCTGCTCCTCAGGCCTGATGAGGGACGTAGAGGTGACTTCTGGGGCCGTGTTCCTCATGCACTGTGGGCACCTCGGTGGGAGGAGGGTCTTTGTTAGGTGGCGGAATACAAACTTTTGACCCGGATGGATTTGATTTGGTTGTAGCCTACGGCTGAAGACTCTTTTTACTAAGCCTGTGGCTCCATGAGTCTACTGGGGTATCAATGGAACAACCCCCGCTCCCATCTCTGTTGCATGGCAGGAACCGGAAGCTTTCTTGGATTTCTGCAGACTGATATTCCTGCTCAGTGTGGTGAGTCTGTCTAGACATTTTGGGTTGGCAGGATGAGGCCCAAAGCCTGGACTCACTATATAACACGTTCCCCGGTGAGATAATACACTGTGGAATCTGACGCTCTCAAACCCACTAATTTCAAGATCCCACTATGAGATGAAATTGTCCCAGTGTCTTTTGAGATGTAACGGACTTGGCGACATTGCTAACACAACTCCTTGTTTCTTAGATCGTGTGTCTTGCTTCTGGGCAGACACCACCAGATACTGGCCATGGGTTTGAGGCAGATGCTTAATCAAGTCATCCACAGCTTTAAGGATGGTGCCTCCCATCTGCTACTCCAAGTGAGCCTCCAGCGCACCGTTCCAGCATCCTGTTAATTAATACTGCTTCTAGGTAGGGGAGCTTGAGGCAGTGATAGCCCAGCTCATGAACTTCTGTCATCACAAACATGTTTTCTGGTCACAGTCAATGTTGTGAGGCATATGATAGGTGTCAATAAGGAACCCCCCAAACCCCAAATCCGTGAGTCTGGCAGAGCACCAAGGAGAGGAGAGGAAAATTCAAGCACTTGTGTATCCGCTAATTTACATGTTACTGTGACAAAAGATATCTGATAGGAAGGAACGGAAGGAGAAAGGGTTATTTCCGCTCACAGTTTAAGGGTGTCATGTAAGGAAAGTGTGGTGGCCGTAGCCCGAGACAATTGATCATATTATGTCCCCAGTCAGGACCATGAAGGCTGGTGCTCAGCTCACTTGCCCCTTGTCATCCCAGGCCATGGAACAGTGCGGCCCACATTTAGGATGGGTCTCCCTCTGCAGTTAAATAATACTGGAAACACCTACAAGGAGATATCTAGAAGTACGAGCCCACGGTGTTTCTAAAATCCAGTCATGTTGATGATGAAGATTAACTATCACATCACGTGAATTTCTCTTTTTGAGGACAGCTTGCTGCCGTCTCCACAGTGAGAGGTCAGTGTGGTGAAAGTCTTAAAAGCTAGCAAGCTGCACACCATCCGTTACCTTCATCAGAGCTCTGCGTGGCTACAGGACATTTAGAAGCGCCACTGGCCTCTGACAAGAAATGCCTTTCTGTATTAGTTAACGTCCCAAAAGAAGGTGGCTTTTAAGATTTTTCCTGAGGATCATCACACTAAACAACCAAACTGACCAAATGACTCAAACGTCTCATTGCCATCAGCCTTTGCACTCACTCGCTGTCCCATTGGCAGCAGGGTGACCACATGTAATGGCCACCTATGAATTTTTTTTAAAGTGCCTTTTACTTATTCCTTGACAATTGCAGACGTGTATACAATGTGACTCGGCTCTGTCCTAAGGTGTTGTCATGGGGGGCCTTGCTGCCTCTGGGGAAATTGTCCGGTTCCTAGTAACAGTAAATGGCTCCCCTGTGAATGTAGACTATGAATGTGAACTGACCCATCCAGGGTCTCCATCCACAGCCACCTTCCCCGTGGGGTTCTCACACTATGGATGACCATCCTCCTGCCCTAATCAGTACAAGGTCAGACACCAGACAGCTACTAACAATCCCTGTACCCCCAAACCCTTGGAAATCACCCTAGTCGGCCAATCCCAAGCCTGCTTCCTATGCCCCACCCCTCCGTTCCTGTGGGAAAAGCTCACAATAAGGTTTGCCCTTAGGTTCTCCACTCTCCCTGATCCTAGACAAGTCCTGGTACTTCCCCAGGCCACCACTGTGGTTTGCCTTCCTCTTGAGAACACTGATCAGCTATCTTTTCTGTAGCTTTCTCTTGTGACATGCTGGCGTCATCCAGCTTAGAGAAAGAGCAAAACTGAACTATTCTTTTGTAAAGCATTAGTATGCAATAATCAATTGGGGACAATAGATACTTACAATTTCACACATATACACCATACACACGGACCACTCTCAACTCCTTCCTCTCTACCGTCCCATCCACCCTCTCCTGTCTCTACAAATCTTTTTCACATTCATATCTGTTTGTTTTGCTTTGTGATCCATTGGGATTAGCCAAGGCCATTGTGCGGCATGAGTTTGACGCCATCCATTGGAGCCTGGAGGGCTTAGCGGTGGGCGAACAACTAAACAGTGTCTCCATTTCTCCACGGTACATGTTTTGACCTGTGTATGCTATTGCTAATGATCAAAAAGATAAATTGGCATTTCTTTCTCCATATCATTTCCCTTTTCAGAGCCT